TTCGTGGTAGCCCTAGGTATGAGTATCGCAGGTTCACATAATTGACATTTGGTAGTTGACTGCTGAATTCTTGGAACATCTCATCAATCTTTTGCTGGTTCATTTGTTTATTTACATAAGGCTCACATATAATGATATTGGTGTTTGTTAGCTGGCTCAAATTGTAGAATAAATATGAACTAAACTTCATCAGATTTACATCATTCTTCCCTGTCAGTATTATTACATAGTCTGTCTTTTGGTAGTTGGCGCACTCATGTTGTATTTTTTCCAGTACCTTGTCCGTTGTGGCTCCTGGTTTGAGGTCACTGTATATTTTATATTTGTTACCAAGAAGGTTGGATAGGCTTCTACAGAGGCCTCGTCCCTGTTCATCCCCAAATATATGTATCTTGTGAACCTGTGTTTGTACATCATTACGTTTTTGTGGATTTTCGGTTTCCTTTTGGGCATCCAAGCCTACATTTTCAAAGCTCTGTGCCAGTTTTCTTGGATCTTCCTTATTTTCGGTTGTAGATTCTAAGTTACTAATATTATTTTCGGGTAGAGTGAAGTCTAGCCTAGTTCTATTAAAACTTCTTCTATTTTTTTGACTCGAAAATCTTTTTGTGTCCGACTTGCATAAGTCTGTTAGTGCCCTTAATTTATTTTGATATTCAGATAATTGTTTTTTCAGGCTAAGGTTTTCTATATTCAAATTATCTATTTCTTTTTCTGCTATTTTCAGTTTATTTTCGAGTTGTATACATTTATTTTTTATTTCCGGTGATCCCTCAGTTAGTTCACCTATTGTTAGGTCCGGATAGCTTCTATGTAGTTTACTGCATGTTGTAGTTAATGACTCTTCATCCGATAACGAGTCAAATGAATTCGCAGTTGGAATGTTGATTTTATATTTTGCTCGCTGGGTAACATTGTTGTTGCAAGGGGTTTCGAAATATGTATTCGACTTTGTGTTGAGTAACTCATAACATTTCATGCATTTCCAGGACTTTTTATTTTCATTATTCATTAGGAAGAATCGCTTTTCTGTGACTTCAGTGCATTCTAGATGATACTCATAGTTGCACTCAATACATTTGAGGTATTGTCGATTTATTATGTTGTCGAGGCATTTTTTACACGTTAGCGCCATCTTCGGTAATATTTTGCAGTTTGAAATTTAGTAATAGATGGTGTGTCAACAGAGGTAAGCTATTCCTCACTAGATGTCGTTGAATTTCGCTAGCTTTATGTTCCAAGTAGTAAGTTACACTGTGGCACCGCTATAAAAAGTCGGCTACTTCACAATAGATGGCGTGATAATACACAGTACAGCTCCCCGTAATTGACAGCGTTGCACTAGGAGTCAGCCCCTTCTCGCTAGATGTCGTTGTGAGTATCGACTTATATCAGCCGAATGTTGCACGTAGCAAGTGGTATAGCCATTCAATTAAAGGTGGCGCCACTATAAAAAGTCGGCTACTCCTCAATAGATGGCGTTGTTTAAAATTTTATTCGCGATATGAGTGGGTAAGTTGGTAAAGTTCAAAGTTCACACAGTATTTAGATATGAGAAAGATTTCTAATTTTAAGTTTATGCACTGTACACTATTATTCTATAGTAGGTTTATAGTTTTCAATGTCACTTTAAATGTTTTGCACTTATTTTTTTAAGTTTTCAATGTTTACAATAGTTTTTATAGTTGAGTGTCACAGTTTTATTGTTTAGTTTTTTTTCACTAATTACTAATTATAAATTTACACAAACACTGTCAGTCACTAATTGTCACTTATTCATACTTTTTAAAAGGTTTTTGGGAGAAAATTTTTACTATTTACTATTTTTTATACGATACATTCTTAACAAATTAGAAAACGAAAAGGAACAGTAGTTAATAACATAGACAATCGATATTGTTTTACACGTTATCACGATTTTGAGTACAAGTTTTGTAATTCCAATTATCGTAACGCACACTTGTACCTAATCTACTTTGCCAGTCTTTTGCTTTCATTTATTGTTAGTCAAACATAACTACCCTATTATAACTTCAAAATATGATTTACTAAAAAAAAATCAAAATCCTTTGGTAAAGTTCCATACAACTTGATGTGGTACAATTTAGCCGACTAGGTGATAGTGCTTTTAAAAAATCGGTAAAAAATATAGCTTATAAATACCGAAAAATGTTTCAAATAATTGTAATCCACACTAATTTACGCTTCTAAATAATATATTAGAAACACCCTGTGATTAAATTTAACAAAATTACAATCTAAACATGTACTGTCAAAAGTTACTTGAAAACAATGAAAAAATACTTTTCAAAATAAAACACACGTGTTTGTTGTCACGGCTAAAACCACATGGCCGATATTAATTGATTTTAGTTGTGTATCGCTGAGTGTTGCAATTACAGACATTCAATAAATACTTTACGAAATATGAGGGTGGTACAATTTACCCGGCGGTACAATATACCGAACTCTCCCCTATATTATCATCGAGCATTCAAGGAATTTGTGGAATTACACATCACAGCCAAACCAATAATCACGACATATAATTATGTACATCGAGAGACAAGCATAGAAGAAGACAGAGTAGAAGCAAATTATACACCTCTGTGCCTATATTGATATGAGCTAAATAAATAGTTGTTTAATTTAATTTCTAATAACTTTTGGGGATGTGTTTCAAGAACAAAAACAAATATAATGTAGGTACCTAATGTAACAGCAGCAGCAGCCGGACTCTAGGATCTAAGAAAAGCTCTAAAAGATATTGCAAAGACTAACTTTCTCTTTGTTCACAACAAAACAAAGTCAATATTGCAGAAATAGCACCGCGTTAATATTAACAGCGCTGGCGGCCAGATTCCTTCATTACTTCCTGAGTCCCGAGGGAAGGCTATAAATAATATAACAGTCCTTTATTTGATGGTGCTCATATTCTCTGTGTGCTGCAGTTGTAAACTATCTTGATATGAAAGCACAATCTAACTTTTCTAGAGAGGAATAAGACTTCTCCGCCAAGTAAGTTGATTGCAATCATGCTACGGTTACATAAGTTACTAGTATAAAAGATTTGCCGCAGTTCTTTATCAGTTCCAAGTTTCAATTGAACTAATTCAATTAGTCATGCTACATACAAATTTCTATTAGTTATGCTTCAAGTCCTTGATCATAGAATTTATGAGCCAGTTTGGTGTCAAGGGGCTGTTTTTATCAATGTCACTCATAACACCATATTCATATTTGTTTTACAGCAATAGGAATGCGTGGATCCAAAACGTACAACGTTACTTATTTAGAAAGTTACTTATTTAAAGTAGAGCCGTAGACAACACAATATAAAGGACTAATTCAATTACATTAATTTAATCGGTTTCATAAAAACCCACTTTTCGGAATTATAAACTTCTACCATCGTAGAGCTGTCTGGTTTTTATAAGTTTATCTACTTTAAACCCTATAGTCTCTAGTGCCGTGTGTGTTTACGCTTTGAAATTGCAATATTTAGTATATGTAGTAGTGCCGTATATGTTTATGTTTCGCGCTTTAAAATTGCAATATTTTTACTATCGCCCACCAAAGGAAGCGGAAATAATCGCGGAAGCGCGACCGGTGTTTACGAAGCTATTCCAGCGCAATATCGGCCTCAACCACGATCTGTTTGTGTGCTTGCCCGCTCAATTGGAAATCTGTGTCTTTGAAATGTGGTCTGATTGAAATTTGGCGACGAAATTGTCTGCAATGATGTTGCAATGTCTATACATACAGACCGTGCAGTTTATCTCTAGACGGGAGAAAATTACTTTCATTTCAAACCTCATTGTAGTGTGCTTAGCATGAGTTTACGTTAGGTGTGCTCCCTAGCGAATGCGTAACAAATTACATTAAATGTATGACAGATTGTACAGCGCCCCTACCGGCTACTTTCAAGAACTAAAATCATTATAGATTTTTTGACGCACTCGCTAGCGAGCACACCTAACGTAAACTCATGGTAAGCACACATGTTTCTCATACTGAGGGTAAGTGAATGTGTTCTATCTTACTTTATAAATTTACTGAAATGTTGGCGCTAGTCTTCAAATCGAGTACATTTTTTGAGACACTTTTGCTTAGTAAATACCAGATCTCTACATACTCTAGGTCCTAGTTTTGAAAATCATACTTAACATTTAGATTGCTTCTTCGAAGAATGTAAATGGACTGTGAATTAAATGAATTATCAAATGGAAAAGACAATCTTAATATAAGTAGGTCTAGATTGAAACTTCTTTTGCTGGAAAAATGGTTTTCGGTTTGTGATTTTAATTGAAATAAAGTACCCTGCTTGTTTTAAAGAACTATTAAATTAATATTTAGTTAGGATTATTCCCTGGAATTGTTAGTTATTAAAGTTCCCAGACAAAAAACAGTCCGTCCTTATCCTTATTTTAATTTAGGTAGTCTGTTTTTATTAAGGCTCCTTGAACTTTGCCATACTCCACACCCCAACTCATTATAAGTTGGGGCGAAAATAAACTCAAAATGTTTATCTGAAGTATAAGGCTACGTAATTTATTATGCCGTATAAGTATTAAGTTTTCAGGCTGATAATTCTCAAAATAAAATGCTTATAGATAGGAACAAAAGCCTAAGAAAATGCCATCTCTATATTGTATATGATCATTGGTGACTTTGGCTAAAGAAACCCGGTACTTTCTTCTGATAAATATTTGATTATTGGAAAGAAAACAAAATCACTTGAGATCAACCAAATCCCATAGCAAAGGAATCCTTGGTTTCCATGATGACTGAAGACTTTTTAGCACGAACTTTATCATTAATCACTTATAAAAAAACAGATATTTATTCCTACTTTAAATAAATCCAGGATACCGAATAAAGAGCGTACTGTTTGTTAATTTGATAACAAAACTAAAGTCAAATGATTGCAAATAGATTTTACATCATAATGACGGTTGTTTGAACAGCTGGAAATGTGTCCATTTGTAGCAGAAGAGGCAGCCGCCTTGAAGTTTTCGGACGTTATGGGTGAATAGTTTTTAGTGACAATGTTGAATTATTTAAAACTATGTGATTATAAACAATGGCACAAATGAGTGAACTTAGATTTTCATTTTCGAATCAGGTATGTAGTACTCGTATTTTCCATAATACACAAAAGTTATTTGAAAGTAAAGTAGATATTTATTTCTGATTCGTAGGTATTTGTCGTGATTGGAATCCTGAGCACATTGTTAAGCAATGGCCTGGGTATTGGCTTTCTACCCATTATTGTATCGGACGAAATAAATGGATCAAATCACAAACTCCTTGATGAACAATCTCTAAGTTACTTAGGTAAGTTTAACTACCCAATATAAAACCCTAATCACGCAATCAAAAACCGAAAACAGGAACTTTATAAAAGTTAGCGCCACCTCAAAAGAACATGAATAAAAGATCCGTGAAAAATGTTCACTTTCGCGAAAAACAAGGAATAATTAAAAACGAGATAAGAAACGCCCGTTGTCGCTGTAAGTGATATTAATTTTGCTTTCAGAGGCTGCTGGAGAGCTGGCTTTTATCGCATCAATCCTGATTATTCCTCTCACGATGCAAAAAAAGGGAAGAAAAGTGGCAAATATTGTGACGATAATGCCAGCCTTTCTGGGCTGGGTCTTGAGCTTCAACGCGGGGAAATTCTTCAGCCTTGTCATCATCAATGCTTTACATAACATATCGCTGGGCGGAGCCGTCTCCATCAGCAGTACATTAATGTCAGAATTTTGCAGCTTCAAATACACAGGGCTATTTTTCATGATAGAAATAGCGATGATAACTCTCGGTATATTACTGTGTCACATCTGTAATGTGGGTATTTCGCCGAAACAGTAAATTTTCTGTGTCCAGGCAGGCGAACACATGTTTTTTTATATCTATATGTATAAAACTATTTTTATGGGAAAGATCATCAAAAGTTTTATTTGTTTTTGCTATTACAACAGCAGAAACTACAAATCATACCGTTGAAAAACTTAATCAAAAGTCGTTTTTCTAATTTCCTTGTTATGTCCATTACTGTTGTTTGCCAAAATGAAGGCACATTATAACAAATTGAAGCGTAATTTCATTCTAATAGCACTCTCTTTATATTTGAGGAATGTTTGGCTATCGGAAAATAAAAACTTTAAATGTGAAAAACTTAAAGGAAGGAAATAAAGTGAAGTTAAGTTCTTGTCCGAGTCAAAAGTATAATTTCCCTGGGTCTTCTTTTCGACCATTGTAGTAACGAAACGAAAGAACTTAGAATGTAATGCACTGCACCGTTACACTAGGCCATTTTGTCCCACGAGGCCATCGAGGCAGGACAGTACTTCGTTGATCAGTTTCGCGACAAATCGCATAATTAGGCCCCTCCTTGGGTTTTTGTTTACTAAAAAGTCAATTTCTTTGGACGGTTTTTCGCAGCTAAACATGGATTAATTTTATTGTTTATTTACACAGATGTAGTGTCTGTAGGGGTAAACCTATGATTTAAATAGTAAATGCATAGGGTAAATAGGTTTTTGTCTGTGGTGTCTTTTAGGCATAAATCTAATTTCTTTGGCCCTAATTTCCTTGTTTTCCGTGGCATAAAATGGCCTAGGAAATTATAAAAGACCATTTTTAATTTGGCGTAAAGTCAAATTTTGAGTATTTCTTTAAAGGAATAAGTTTAAAATTTACATTTTAAGAAATGGGTATCAGAATAGATATAGAACAACTTGTTTTTAACTCTTAACTCAATCTACTGCATTTATCTTCCTTAGTTGTGTAAAAAGGTCGTAATGATACAATATTCATTGGTATGTTTGCTTGAGAAGGTACACAAAAATGGGTCGAACAAAAAAAAAGCAAACCACAGAAGAAAACTTAGAGAAAAAAATATTTATAATAATTTCCTTGGCTACCAAAAATTCATGACCTTATAACTTTTCACAATGATTTATCATTATAACTTGCGAGACGCTTCTAGCTGCGCTTATCCGTGTAACGGCCAAAACCCGTTCCTTTTGTTTCGCTTCACTGTAGCTCGATCGCTCGTATTGACAGTGCCGTGTGTCGTCTTGTTTAATGATACCAAACTACCCATCCACACTAACTTAGTTTAGCACGCTCGCGTATTTGTAAAACGTTTATTTTCGTTATTACGTTCTAAGTTCTCATGTAAGTGAAGTAATTCTTATGAGAATAAAGTTTCTTTACCCGTAACTACAACAGTCCCGACAGTGATAGGGTTAGCAGACGTGTTCCACTTCTGTCGCGACTGCAAAGTATGCAAGTACTCAGACTTCCATCGTTTCCAAAACGATTAAACCAATCTATCTAACAAAGAGTGTCGCGAAAGTAGATGTAATCTATCTTCATCAATATTTCTAGCGGGCAAATACTTAAGCGGCGTCAAAGTAAGAAAATGCGCGGGAGTCAAAGCTAAAGGCTCAGATGGGTCGCTAGAGAGCGTCCTACACANAAAAGAATATTTCGTACCAAGGAAATTAGGCAAAATTGACCATTTTTGGCGAAATACCCATGTATATTCTTGTTGTACTACAATTTCGTTATTCGGAATAGCATCTTCAGCAGTTGGTTTAATTGTGACGCAATTTTGGCTCGAAACTCCTTATTTACTAACAAACAAAGGCCAGCTGATCTCAAGAAAAGAAAATCACAAGCTAAGAAATCAAAATGAAAACGTTTTCGACGAATTGGGCAATCTATTTTCGAAACGGAGAATACAGCAGTTGATACATTCGAAGCCGATAAGTATTAAGTTGCGAAAAAAGATAACTGAATATTTGAAATCATTATTGAAAGCAGATTCCCTTAAGCCGGTCTCAATCGTGCTACTGATATCTAGTTTGGTTAGCTTTGGAAGAGAAGACGGGATTACAAATTATTCCCTGAAAAACATTTTCAAGACGAATGGAAAGTATATTGGCACGATTATACTGGACGTTTTGACGTTAATTTGTTCTTTGACTGCTTGCGGACTGCTCCAAATAGTTAAAAGGCAAAGTTTGTTTTTGTTTTCGGGTGCGTTTTCCGTCGTTACTTTGGGTTTGATATCTCTGATTTTGTTTTTGCAAACAGTGGAGTGGATTTCCAGAGACTGCTTCTGGTTGTTTGGCTTAGTGACAGGCCTTGTTATGTTTCTGTCATTGGGCACAACTGTTATACCTTTTTCGGTCTTGGGAGATATGTTTCCGTTTTCTTACAAAGGTATAGGTAGTTCTTTGACGTGTACGTATTTGTGGGCGTTAGGTAATAGTGTTTTAAGATCTGTGCCCTTATTTTGTAACATCCTAGGATTTTACGGAATAATATTGATAACTATTACAATTTTAGTTTTAGTTTTATTTGTTGTAAGTAAATTGGTCACTGAATCTGATCTTAGAATACAGTCGGATTCAGATCAACTTGTAAAATTGCGTAAAGATGAACTTTATTGTATATCAAGAAAAGAAACACTCAAATCTCAACAAAGTGATACAATTCAAGTATTTATTGAAGTATAAATATTGTTATTAATAGTCCCGATTAATAACTTAAGTCTGTCTTTAGTGATAAGTGTTTAAATGATCTGAATAAAATAATGTTTATGTGACAAAAACTGATTATTTATTATATCAAAACAAGCTATAAACTTTGTTTATAATATTTGCTGTAAAAGTTTGGTTTTATTATTTTTAATATTTAAAATATTTGCTTTAAGAAAAATATTATACTATCCATATTAAAACTTGACATTATTGGATAATTATGCTGTCTTAATCTATACAAGTTTTAGACATTATCTGGCAGTTGCTTCATTATTTTTTATAATTTGATCAAAATAATTTATAATGATTCCTCGTTATGTTACCTAAATATGTGGAACTATTTCAGGAACCGGTGAGCAAACCTAAGTGTTAGTTTAATCCTTTAATTGCATTACATTCAGAGACCTCATCTAATATCCATTAATTGTTTCCCAGGCTGCCAACGGAGTTCTATTCAAAGCCAACATAGCGTTAGCTCAGGGAGCAATTAAGCCGATGGACGCCATCGGATCGTAGCTAAAACTCTGTTACGTAATTCTTAGTTTAATTGGTTGCTTCAAATAAACCTCAATCTATTTTGAAAACGTGACATCAAATTCAAAATATTTATTAGCACGTAAGCATTTTTCACGTGTTTGTGCCCAACACGTTCCAAATATTAGCTGAGCCTACCACCACTTCAGGACAACATACCGGCTGCAAAACTAAGTAAAGTTACGTTCACCAGCGCCTCTTTTTGATTTGATTTGATTTGAACAATGCATTTATCTTAAGAGCCCAAGAACAGCAATGTTTTTTGCTGGTTCTTCAGGCCCAAGCTTTTCAGAAAGACCTAGACTTCTACGCTGTAAATATGAGAGTATTTTTAAGTACAGTGTGATGGGTTTGGCCAAAATAAACTAGATTTATTTAGTATTATCAGAGATTTATTTCGGTAATTAAAACACAGGTTACACAGCGCAACAACCATCGAGAGCGGAAGAGACAAACAGGAAGTTGAATTGTCACTAACAAACGTCACTGTCAAACACTTTTGCGTTTAGTTTGTGTTTACAATCTAACACTGGCCCTTAAACACAAATTAAAAACATTAAACAATGTTAACTTAGGCTTACATGTACCTACTACTTATCACAAACATTGTATCAACAAATCAAGTTGCTTTACAAAAGAAAAAAAAAGGAACAACAAAATTAAATGCAATTTCAGTTATGCAAAAAAACACATTATNCCGTCATCCACAGGAGCTCCAATATCACTGAGCTGCTGGGCCATGTCGCATATTTTGTTCAAGTAGCTCTCCATACCTGCACACTCCTGCAGCTTGGTGCCGAAGAGCACCCACAGCAGGCCAAGTCTGCGACATAAGTGACATAACCCTCGGTCCTCATACGCCTTTTGTAGGTTGCTCCACGCTTCGTGCGCCGTGGCAGCCGTTCTAATGTGTGAGAAGACTGCCGGGTGCACTGACAACGCAATACGCGCAAGTGCCTTCTGCACGTACCTCTCATGTGCTGCATCGTGGCTCCCATTTTCCACGTATTCCCAAAGATCTTCGTGTATCAGCACCATCCTCATTGTGAACTTCCAGGAATGGTAATTTTCGATGCCTTTCAACTTCTCCACAACGAGGGACGAGGCGCCGGTACCGTTTGCCATGTTGCCGGCATTGAAGTAATATTACTACGTAGTACATTATAACTCAATGGTTGCCGGCCGGGTGTGGAACGAATGGTTGTTTGATATTTTGTCAAGAATTGCAAATTTCGACAAAATATTATTACTTTCGCGCATCTGGGCCCATAACCTGATGGGTTTGGCCAAAATAAACTAGATATATTAAGTATTATCAGAGATTTATTTCGGTAATTAAAACACAGGTTACACAGCGCAACAACCATCGAGAGCGGAAGAGACAAACAGGAAGTTGAATTGTCACTAACAAACGTCACTGTCAAACACTTTTGCGTTTAGTTTGTGTTTACAATCTAACAGGATCCACGCGTACGAAGTCGCGGGCGGCCGCTAGTAATAAATAAATATCCTTAGACATTTTACACTGCGCTTCTAGTCCCAAACTAAGCAAAGCTTGTACATAATACTAAGTATTAAACATACATACTTAAATACTTTTTTTTTTGTAAATACATACTTACTATACATAGAAAACACCCAGTCCAATACAAACAAATATGTTCATGCACACAAATGTTTGTACTGTGCGGGAATCGAACCCGCTCCCTCCGGAATAGTAGTCCGTTTCGAACCACTACACCAAACGGCCGATAATACAAACCTATCATTTAAAGTCTCGCATAATGTATTAATAATGCACGTTGAACTTTCTTCTCTCACTCTCTCTCATTTTAAATGAATTTATGATTACACTAATAATTGTTATTTAATTTAAAAATCTACCTAATCAATTTAATNCAGGAGTGCTGAAATACAAGTTAGAACTCTTATCTTATTAACTAGCCGGTTTATCATTGTTATTAAATTAATAGCTTGCAACTACTTATTAGTTACTTTTCTTTGTTGATACAATATACTTCTACTACTACACTGTTACAAATTGGCATCCCAACGCGGGCCTTGTTTATCTATAGTCTATGTATGTTTATTTTATTTTTCTATCCTCTTTTAAAGTCATTTTAGTAGGCATTTATTTTATTTATTTTAGTCCCGAATAGTTTTACAACTACCCACATTATATTTCACCGCGAAGATTGATCTTTATAATATTTTGCCCCGACGTAGTCGACGTAACAAAGCAGTTATGTCGAACGTTAGTTTTACGGACGACCAATTCCGCGACCTTATTGGAGTATTAGCGAGCAGGAACTTCGCTCCACTCTCACCGTCTAAGCCTGGTAGTTTCGCGCTTTGCACAGCCCACTTTGATGGAACTCGCGATGCAGCATTAGTTGAAGCGTTCCTATCAACTATCACGACGTTCAAAAAGATAGAATTTGTCAGTGATAGTAACGCCATTGAAGGGCTAACACTCCTGCTGACCGGAGAAGCTTCCATATGGTGGCTGGGTGTCAAGGACGACATTACCTCATGGTCTGAGGCCATAACACTACTTCGTACCACATTCGCGCCCAAGAGACCAGCATATAAGATATATGAAGAAATTGTATGTATCAAGCAGTCGCAACCAAGGGGCACAGAACTTTTCGTTGCCAAGAAGCGCGCACTTATGGCCGAATTGCCGAAGCCTGCACTTACTGTAAGTCAATGTTTGGATCTTCTGTACGCTTCATTGCACGTGGACATCAGGGACAAGATACCCCGAGACAGCGTCAGCAGTTTCGACGAGTTTCTTAGGAAGGCTCGCCAAATTGAAGAAGTACTGATCGAACAAAAGAATACCGTTCCTTCCACTTCATCAGGCAAAAGAATACGGTGCACATTCTGCCGTGTTTTCGGGCACAGTGAAGAAAACTGCAGGAAGAAGGAAACGTATACCGAGAAAACACAGGACTCCGCCAGTGCTGCTGTCCCATATAAATCCATAACGCCTACATAAATTACTTGCTACGGTTGCGGTGAGCCCGGCGTTATAAGAAGCAAATGCAAGAAATGTAATGGTGGCAATGGCACAAAGATAGGTTCAGTGGAAGTGGGTTTCTACGCATTAAGTCCCAGCCTCTCTTACATATCCCGACTACGACCAACCGTAGAGATTCGGATTGGTGATGTCAAGGGACGAGCCCACATTGATTCTGGGGCTAAACTAAGTGTGGCCTCCCAGTCTTTGTACCAAGTACTTCAACAGCAAGGTATGAAATTTATTACGGAAACAGCCACCATAACCTTGGCCGATGGTCTGAAACGAAGGCAACAAATAAAAAGAACCACTGCACCTGTTTCTATCAGCAACAGAACGGTTTTGACAAATTTTATTGTGCTGCCCGAATCACATGACAATAGGACACTCTTGGGAGTGGACTTTATACAGGACGCGAACATGGTGCTTAACCTTCCTCAACTTCTGTACCATTTTTTGGATGAGCCTGGAAAGAAGTTCGACCTGAATAATGAGGATGACGAAATGACGACGGTATCAACGATACAATCGGAAACAACATCCGTAGCTGCTACTCAGTCAGAGAACACTTCAACTGAAACAATTTTCAGCAAACTGTTTAAACTGACTGCACTGGAACCAATGGTGAGTCCAATGCAAATGACTCCGTCGCCAATTGCTACTGATCCGAAAGAAAAAGACGTGGAAATATCTTACGGACCCCCTCCATTGATTGGTTTTGTGACGCCACCTGCATCACCCATACATGAAAGTCCGAGGCTTGAAGGATATTCGCCGAGATTTGTTGGTTCTCTCTTTAGAGACGCTCAGATGGCAATCAACACAGCTGAAATAGAACTTTCACCAAATAGTACTAATATATTTAGTCTTGATGTCGATATTGCCATGATATCAGTAGAAACTAGTCTCAATGATGAGCAACAGACACAGCTTGATGCTGTTCTTGAACAAAATGCAGCCGTATTCGTGTCTAACGGGGAGCCAGCTGCCTTGGTGGAACATACTATTGAGACTGGCAATCATCCACTCATCGCCGTTCCCCCGTATCGAATGTCTCCTATACATAAAGAAATCTTACGCCAAGAGATCAGTCAAATGTTGGAACAGGGTATAATCGAATTATCCAAGTCACCATGGGCAGCCCCGGTGGTAATGGTACCTGTAGTGTATAGACATTTGTCTCGAGCGCATACGTCACAGCCCAGTCAGCGGTGGGGGGGGGGGCATTCGGCGTCCGACCGTGGTGGGGGCAGGTCGTGCTGTGTGCGTAGGCGAGCCAAATAATAATCTAATGGCGGAGATAAAGGTGTACAATACAATGGCGACGAGGATTAAAAAGGAGTGTATAAAAAAAAAAAAGAAGTGAGTAGGTACACGTATAAGTTAAAGTTATAAATTAACTCACGGAACATTATTAATTTCAAACAAAGTATCTATTTAGATTGTGCTTAAATATGAANGCCTAATAAAGAAGCGCCTCAAAAGTTAATTAAATAATAAATTGTATTTATTTCAAATTAAAACAAGGAAGGGATGTAGTGTATAGACATTTGTCTCGAGCGCATACGTCACAGCCCAGTCAGCGGTGGCGGCATTCGGTGTCCGACCGTGGTGCGGGCAGGTCGTGCTGTGTGCGTAGGCGAGCCAAATAATAATATAATGGCGGAGATAAAGGTGTACAATACAGTACCCAAGAAAAATGGCGACATAAGAGTATGCATAGATTATCGTCAATTAAACAACGTAACCGTACCCGATGCTTATCCACTGCCAAGAATAGACGATCTCCTCCATGAAGCCAATCCAACTCCATATATGACATCATTAGACCTAAAGCCAGGCTACTGGCAGATTAAGGTACGCCGTGAAGACCAGAAAAAAACAGCATTCGTCACGCCTTTTGGGTTATATGAATTCAAAAGAATGCCGTTTGGGCTACGAAATGCCCCTGCTACTTTCCAGCGGTTCATTGATCGATTAAGAATACAGATGGACGCACAATTACTGGCATACTTGGACGATCTAATTCTGCTATCTCCATCATTTGAACGCCACCTGGAAGACCTGAATGAGCTATTTCAGCTGCTACAAAGGAACAATGTCGTTGTTAACAAGCAGAAATGCAGATTCTGCCAGAATCAAGTTCCTTACCTCGGGCACATTATTACTAGATCCGGACTACAGACAGATCCTGCAAAGATCGCTGCCATGATAGACATACCTATTCCGAAGAATGTACGGCAACTCCAATCATTCTTACAAACGTGCTCTTGGTATCGACGATTCGTACCAAATTTTGCTAAGTGTGCCCAACCTCTTACCCAGTTAACAAAAAAGGATTCTCCATGGGAATGGGGCAGCGCACAAGAAAACGCATTCACCGAGCTAAAACGGCATCTAACCAGCGCACCTATCTTGAGACAATAGGCAGGACACATAGTACGCAAAACTTACGGCCAATGGGGCACCAAGGTTCTGGAGTAGGCTGCATACCGAAAAACGAAGCGTGCGACATCCACCCACAAACCAAGGCGGAACGATGATCTCATAAAGGTAGCAGGAAGGCACTGGATGCAAAAACTATCACCTATATGATCTTGCATTTTTTAATAATGTTGGGATCTGCTTGAAAGGGTAAAGGGGGCATTGATTTGATGATGTAAGTGCTACTTAGAAATGAATAAAATAAATAAGTATAAAATTTAACTTAGACGAAAAGCTTTCTAAGCATACCTAAGTAGGTACCAAACGATTTATTGTAATAATCAGAAAACTCACCAGTAATCAGCTATGCTTCAGTATCCACAACACAACACAAAATATTCACAAAACTGCACTTCACTGTTTAGATCACGCTCGATGGGAACCGCTTAGCCTGTTTATTGCTGAAGGTTTATTCTAGCGCGATTCGTCGTACTTTTATTACAAGCTTTTTATTACTTTTTTCATACTTCGTTCGGACAAGCACATGTCGTTCTTCTCACTTTTGCCAGAAAATGTCGGCACCCTGAACCGGAACCTTTCGCTATGGAGTGGCTCGTTCAGGCCCGATTGGTCGTATCAACATAATCTGAACTTAGTGTGACGTAGTAGTAAGACAATATATAAAGCAATGTATCTAATATTTGAGAGATCAGTAATAAATCATATTCAATACGAGTAACATCTTTAATTAGCCTCGTCCCGTCCTTACATGGATGAGCGTAATTATACATTAAATCATAGTTAAGGGGGCAAAAGGGGAGCAAAGAACAAGTGGACTGTATCTAAATTATTTTGCGGGGTTTTCAATAAAGCGGAGTCTACAAAGAAGTGATGGCGAAAATGGCGGTCGGTACACCTCGTGCAAAATGCTGGAAGTGCCGGGCTGGGCGGGAGAAACAACAATAGGAAACAGCCCGGTGGAAGAAGGAGAGGATTGCACGTACCTTGAGTTCCTGGTTGTCGTAGATGGAGTCGCAAGGGCTTCTTTCCGGTGCCTCGTGGTACCACGCGGTCGAGCAAATGGGCGGCCAGGATAATCCCTCTTCCAAGACGAAAAGACGCACTTTACGTAGCACTGTTAGCAAGTTACACGTTCACAGACACATAGGTTCAAGGTATACCGATTACAAAGTCTAATTAGCGGGAGAAACAATTAAATCAGAGGAGCGGTCACGCAGTCATCACTTCCCGCGGCGGTGCGTGCGATGAAACTCGAAAAAACCAACAGTAGCGACCTCTCGTGGATGACGCGGAAGCCGCCGGTGGCGCCAAATATACTCGTACTCTTCTAGTAATACGTGCGGGATAAGGATGGGAGTAGGAGATGCATTTTGCACGCGGATAACAAACCAACTCTTTAATTTATGGCGCAACCAACCACTGTGATGAATCAGAGATTTGAAACCTTATCTTTTGATCTGTTTGGTCCTTTGCCTCCATCACTGAATAATAAAACATGGATTTTCATAGTAGAGGATGTTGCTTCTCGTTGGGTCGAATTGTTCGCCTTAGAACAGGCAACAGCAGAAGCATGCGCAGATGTTTTGCTTAATGAAATCTTCCTTCGATACGGGATTCCCCGTCGTATCATTAGTGACAACGGAACTCAATTTGTCAGCGCAATAATGCAAAAATTGACGTATTGTCTCGATATACATCACGCATTTACTCCAGTACCTATATCACCCAGAAACCAACCCAGTTGAAAGGAAGAATCGTGATCTGAAAACCCAATTAGCAATATTGGTTTGAGATGATCATCGATCTTGGGTGGATAAACTCCCAAGTATCAGATATGCAATGAATACGTCGAAATACGCCAGCACGAGTTATACTCCAGCATATTTAACGTTTGGTAGAGAGTTGAGGACCTATGATGATGTCAAATATGATCTCAGACAAATAGCTTTATCTGAAAACTTTATTCCCGAAATCACGCCCAAACTTATTCTGTTAGCAGAAACCGTACGAAAGGCGCAGGAAATTCAAGAGCAAAAGGAAGAAACAAGGAAGAAGACGGCCGATGAACATCGCCGGCCATCTCCTGCATACCAGCCTGGTGACCTCGTGCTGGTGGCATCTAACAACCTGAGCAGCTCAGCCCGACACCAAACAGCTAAGTTGTATCCTCGACGGGATGGTCCCTACGTTGTCTTGCGACAACATGGACCTTGCTCATATGAAATAGCTAACCCAGCTGATCCAACCATCGCCTTACACACATATCACTCTTCAGCTCTTACCCCTTATCGAGGGCCAGGCTCTTCTTTGCCTAATCCTGAACAACCTTTACGCAGACGAGGAAGACCGAGGAAAGCAGCCACGAGCACAGCCACGAGCGCAGCCACGAGCGCAGCCACTGGACTCCTCGCCGGGGCGTCTTCGGGTCCAGAGGGGGAGCCTGTAACACGACGACGCGCCGCCCGCGCTCGATGACGCAGCGCCGCCCGCGCTCGATGACGCAGTGACACCCTGCCCCGCACGCGGCGGCCCCG